TGTTTAATAGCCCTTACTCTTGGTTTGCAACCACGTTTTAGGGCGGCCCTATTGGTGGTCAATGCAGTCATTATCTGTAAAAGAAATTTTACTCGCAAAATTCGCAAGGAAAGAGACAAAGGTTAGCAGCCGAGGGAAACGCTTTTGTTCTTGATCACCAAAATGGCCGCCGTGACGTCACCTGCAATAAGTAAATCCTTCATGACTTCATTGGTTATGGTCCATTAGCATACGAATTCACGTCAAGAAGGCATTGCGTAAAAAAAGAATCGAGCTAGTTTATCGTTGTGAAATATGGATTTTTAGCTCGTTATGTAATCTTGTATATAAGTTAAACGGCAGAATTTCTGGGTGGCAAAAGTGCCAATGCATAACATTAGGTAAAGAGTATCTAGTATATCGGGGGAAAAGTTTAGAAACAACTTGCTGTCCTATGTGGTATCAATGCTCCAGTTGGTATTTTTATAGTTTGCTTAGAGGATAATGAACATATGCTAATGAGACAAATATTGTAAGCAAGGATTCATAATCTGTAAAATGAATTCACCACTTTGGAATTGAGAGCGAAACTGAGCCGAGTTAACTTTCGCAAAGACTTCTGGCACTGTTACTAGGGACAGAGATAAAAATTGGCCAATAGATGACCGTAGCTATCCCAGAAACAACTGCGGGACGCAATTTGGCTCCAGTTCCCTTTTCGTTTTAAAGTTGCGCATCATTTCAGTGTGACCTTAAAATGATTGTAAAATAGTTGTTCCACTAAATGAGTAAAAGACGTAAGTGCTTTGTTCCTTTAAAAACCGGAGCTTAGAATTTTTATAAAAAAAAAAAAGTTGAAAACTTTGCAATGTTCAAATTCGTTAAATGAAAAAACAAATAAATAAATAATAATGATCAGAGTTTTACAATCCTGTGGTCCATTAGTCCCTTCTCTTTTTTAAGGCCCTTTTTTCGTGCTATTTTTATGCAGTTTTTGGACTTAATCGCGCATGGTAACTATTGTAGCTGCGATTTATTGGCGATTTTGTTGCAGTGGTTGCTGTTGGGCGCATGTCAGACTAACTATTCAAGGTTGGCGCGCGGTCGCGACAAACTAACATCGACTTACGTTCGGTTGGACTCCTTATGAAGCCTATACGATACACCAATCACTTGGTTTCCTAACCCTGAACACTTGAGGTTACGTTTACACGTCACCGCACGATTTTTCAACCAGCTTAAAAATTTGCCCGGACACTTAATTCACACGGAACTGGCCCGCGTTGTTCAAACGTTGGATAGCGATGTCCACCGGAAAAATCGCTTTCCAGCGGATATGCATTAGCGAAACCTATTGCGTTATTCAATGGATAGAGATTTATCCAGTGGATAGCTTTATCTACCTTTTGAACAACCAGGGCCGGTTCAATATTTTCGCTCTGCTCACACGGAACTGACGAACCAGGATGAACTTTAACTTCTGCATATTCAAAATGGCGTCTCCCACCTGAGTTACCACGCAACCACGCCTTTACAGTAAAAACATCTTGGGATTCACACGGCGTAAGCAAAAACCTTGATTTCGCAACGTAGACAATTGAATTCTGCAAAGCTGATGGGACTACGTGAAAATCAACTTTGTAAGACAACAACACGACACCGAAATAAACCAAAACAGAGTGGGGTTGTGGCTGTCGACAGCTGTTTCGCCATTCTTGTGGCTCATCAGTACGGCGCAAGAAACAAAAAAGCTCTGCTGAAAATTACCCGCTCACTCTGATTTGTGCCCTGACATTGAACTCCAACTCGCAAAGAAAATACAGGTTGGCCAAACCAACCTTAAACCAAACAGTCTTTGGCATATTCGTTTGCGGTCCTTTGTAGTTCATATCTGTTTATTTCGAAACGACAATTCGTCATGAAATCGCCTTAAGATAACAGACCCTCCTCCCCCTTCCCCTTCAATACAGTAAACACCAGCTAAGTGCGTACCTTCTCTGAAGTCTGGCAAAATAGGTTCTTTCATTTTGGGGTACTTATTGGCAATTTAGGCTAAGTAGGTTCTTAATCAGTAAGGTTCTTAATTTTTATGAAGGAGATAATTAATTTAATTTCAAAATAATTAATTTATAATAGACAATTATTTATTCGCAATCTTATAATTATAACCCTAACAAAATTGATTACCGAATTTATATACAATTTAGTACACTATGTTCTTCCAGGAGGTTCTTAAGGTGACTCGACCCAGTTTTTTTTGGGGGGTACCATCCTAATTTGAAGCTCTCTGGTATCCCCACCTTTACTTTTATCGTAAGTCTAACACATAGAATGGATAACATATAGATCAATCTACAATATAACATAAAATTTTTGACTTGCATCAAATCAGGTTGTAATCAGGTTTGAACATGGGTGGTAAAACGCGCAACATCGCTATTCAGCTCGTTTTGTAGCGATGTTGCAAAACAATTTGTTCGTTTTTTGTTGCCCGTTTTTCCATTCCTTAATAAGGACACTTGTGTATGGTCCCCTCGGAGGGCGTATTAAAGGGGTTTGTCTGTATTAGGTTGGATACTGCTACACTCATGCCTCTCGTCTTAGACTTAAGAGTACGAGTTTTTTCACTGATGAAATAATCAGGTGTACCGGTATATAATTTTTCCTTGCAGGTCACACCAAAATACCTGATTCTACCAGAGAGAATCCAGATAGCTCCAGTGGTACGGACCGAGTTCTTGGGGTCGTGTTATTTGATTTATCACCACTGTTGGCTGGTATGAGGCAGCTAATTGGCTGGTACAATGTAACCGATTTTAACGGAGACTGCAAAGGACAGATCAAGGTATTTGAACAAAGCGAAAGTTTATCAACCGAATTTATGGTATCCTGTGATCGGATGAAACACATATTTAAATGTGAAACAAAGGCTCTCTAATGATTAACAATTTGTGAAGAGATTTAAAAGCAAAACTTTGCAACATTTGTCCAAACGTTCTTCACAATAGTTGTCGATGTTATTGTTGTATTTTAGATTGGTGTTTCACCTGTTATCCCCGTGTCTCCTCCACGATCTTTACCTGCTTCAAGGCAGCGGCTTCACCTCCCATCTTCCACGCAGCAAGATGTGAGTTAACTTAGTTCTGCTTTTGGACTTTCAACAGTTTCTATGATCTAGAAAAGATTTATAGTTCCACTGTTTTTACTTAGGTGTGCCTGCTTTTCTGAACTCGTAAATTGTGACATTTTCAAAATCGTAAATATTTATTGCAAACATCAGTGACATTTTTCAGCGTTTTTGTATTGTAAATTACCAATTATTACTTTATCGGTTATTATATATTACTGTTATTACTTTTACACTAATTTTAAAATACACATGCAAGTTTTAAGGTGACTCGACCCAGTTTTTTTTAGGGGGTACCATCCTACTTTGAAGCTCTCTGGTATCCCCACCTTTACTTTTATCGTAAGTCTAACACATAGAATGGATAACATATAGATCAATTTACAATATAACATAAAATTTTTGGCGATCGGAGTAAATGTCACGTGGTTATAATGCTAAGCCCCTTTGAGGTCTGAGTCGAAAATCTGCTGTTACCGGCATTTTTTCGTAAAAATCTCTCGGCTACACATAGTGCGCATTAGTGCCTTGCGCTGAACAGAGTTTCACCAAAATCGCAAAGACTCAATTCGAGAAATTCAGCGGTTTCCAAATTTAGGTCATAATTTATGCGAAAATGATAAGCAAACTTTACACGGATTATATCTAATAAACTATGAGATCCATCTCTTTATTTTGGGCATCGTTATAACAGATGGGTCCTTGCAAGTCAGCAAAACGCTTTAGGGCCTTGTAAATGCGCGCGATTTCGAGCAAAGCAAACATATAGAAATTATAGTTTTCGCTATTTGTTGACGTTTGTCAGCGTTTAAGAGTCCTTCTCACGAAAAAAGCATTTTCTTAAAAATTCGTAGTTTTTTTTCCTTCAAATTTTTTCAGGGCCACAATTGATTAACTAACTACCCGGACTCTGAATTTCATGGTCATTGAAAAACTGTGACATTATCTTCTATAAGCCCAAACTTGAGTAAACATTGAAGATTTTTAGCGTTTTGGCTGAGTTTGTGCTTTGGGAGTTGTCTATTGTTTCTAGTCTGTCATTATACAACATTCTTGTTCAGCACGCGTGCAATGACCACGCTTGGCTGACTTCCGAATGCTCACCGAGATATTCCCGTCACGAGTTGGTTTAATTATTGGCTTGCATTAAACCTATGAAAAAATGATATTTTTTTAATAGTAAGTAGATTTAGTGTGTAGCACTTCTTGATTTTTTTGCAAAGGCACAAGAAGCACGAGAATTGATTAAAAATTGTGACCTAAACCTCTATGTATCACGCGATGGCCTGTCTCACTGTACCAAAATTATTATATCTCGGTATGTTTGTTTTGCTCGAAATCGCGCGCATTTACAAGGCCCTAAAGCGTTTCGCTGACTTGCAAGGACCCATCTGTTATAACGATGCCCAAAATAAAGAGATGAATCTCATAGTTTATTAGATATAATCCGTGTAAAGTTTGCTTATCATTTTCGCATAAATTATGACCTAAATTTGGAACCCGCTGAATTTCTCGAATTGGGTCTTTGCGATTTTGGTGAAACTCTGTTCAGCGCAAGGCACTAATGCGCACTATGTGTAGCCGAGAGATTTTCACCAAAAAATGCCGGCAACAGCAGATTTTCGACTCAGACCTCAAAGGGGCGTGGCATTATAACCACGTGACATTTACTCCGATCGCCAAAAATTTTATGTTATATTGTAGATTGATCTATATGTTATCCATTCTTTGTGTTAGACTTACGATAAAATTAAAGGTGGGGATACCAGAGAGCTTCAAATTAGGATGGTACCCCTCCCCCCCAAAAAAACTGGGTCAAGTCACCTTAATCCACAGGCCTTATAAGCGGGTGTTTACTGTATCGCAGCGTTATACATACAGCTAATTCTCTAAGGTCGTGAGTGGACATTTGAGGCATCTGTTTCGAAATAGTTCCTTTAATCAATATAATTATGCGTTGAATTGATAATTTGAATTATTATACATTGTAGTCACCATCTGTTTTCTCATTGGCTAAAAGCCTACAGTTAATTCTGGGAAACAGCGCAACCTACAGATTATTCACTAATCTGTACCTACAGATTAGTGAATAATCTGTAGGTTGCGCGCACAATGCATGATTTCCAAGAGCAATGTCAAGTTCGCGGACAGCGAAGTGAGAATGGCTTCTATAATAAAAAAAATAAGAATGGCTTGTATAATGAAACAATTATTAGATTCGGTTTTTGTGATATCCGGAATAATCAAGGTCTCGGTTAGTGTTATCAGCCGAAGCCGAACCGGATATCACAAAAACCTCATCCAATAATTGTTTATAATACATCTCTAATATAACTAAGCTTATTTTGAAAATGTGACTGCATTTAAGTTCTTGTAGTTTCATCATTTTTTGTCTCCAAAGTATTCATGATAAAAACTAGAAATGGGATCATTGCTGCAATGTTCGGTAATTACGTTTTCAAACAGCCAGCTAATTTCATTTCACTATTACTAAAAAATTAATTTCATAATCCTACTATCTGTTCTGTTCACCGATACTCTATTTGGTGTTTGGTTGAAGATTAATGCTCGAGTCAGCTGCTTGACACTGCTTTGGGCTTAACTTGCAGATTAACTTGCTCTTTGTGAGGAAACGGCAGGGGAGAAATGAGGCGAGAGATTTGCCCCTTCAGCCATCAGGGCCTCTATTTCAGGCACTGTACGTGGAACGCAAGTCATAAGCTCCATACCGTCTGACGTCACAACAATGTCATCTTCAATACGAACCTAAACGAAAGATAAATATGAGAGTATTTGCACATGTATCCTGCGCGAAAGAACGAACCAAGTCCGTCTACAAAACAGGGTCCCGTTTCTCGAAAGGCCCGGAAACTTTTCGGGCCCGAAGGCAAATTTTAAAATCCAAACCAGATGAATAGTAACACAGTTCCTAGCCCACAAACGAGTCAATTTTGCTTGGTAAACTTATAGTTTCATTGCATTACTCTCAAAATTATTGAAACTTTGCTCTTGAATGCAAAAACAAAAAACGCAAAACAGCTTTCCGGGCCCGAAAAGTTACCGCGGGAATTTAAGAGAAACAGGCGCCAGGGGGCCCGTTTCTCGAAGGTCCCGATAATTAACGGGCCCGGTAAGCTGTCTCCGTTTACAGTAAAGATTGAGATTTCAATAGTTTTACATCTAACATGATAAAACTATCAGTTGACGAAACAAAATGGAGTAGTTTGCTATCCAGGACCGGCGCTTATATTCTTTATATTTCGAATTGAATATTTGATTCCGGGACCCGAAAAGTTACTGGGTCTTTCGAGAAACGGGCCCCAGGACCGAAATCGCCTTTTATGGGTCCCCACCCATGTATCAGGATTTGAGGACGCGCTATGATTAACCTGTTAAAAAAGCCATTGTGGATTTGCCAATCAGGATGAAGGGAACTTCGAAACGCATTTTCGTATTTCGTTGAGTTCGTTGGGGGCCCAGAACTAGGATACCCGCTTTTTGGCTGAAGTCACTTAAAAAGTCTGTCCCTGTTAAGCATTTGCTACTTAAGCAGTTAATCAGTTCTTTAAACTGATTGCGTAGCGTTATTTTAATAGATTAACACGATCTGACCATGAAACGAACCAATCAGAATTCGAGTAAGTATACAGAGTGGCGCAAAGTGTGGAGAACTCGTACGGTAACGACTCGTGAATTTTCTGGTTGTTTGTAAAAGTAGCGGAGACTTTCAACCAATTACAAACGTAGCAATGGAAAACCAAAGCATCAGGAATTCATTAAAAACCACTCTATAACATAAAAACCAAGAGAAATTCAGGTATTTTGCCGTCCCTGTAATTTACTTTTGGACGAAAGGAAAATTTATAAGTACTCACCCCTCCAAAATTCCGGAATCGTTGCAGCATTTCTTGGTTAAAGAACCGCGCAGTTTCGGGGTTTTGTAAAGCTGGGTTTAAGGTCTAAACACGAAAGAAAAATTAAAAAATAGCAATGAGATTAATCAAATAATCGCACAAACATGAAGCCTAGGTAAAGATGATACTTACAGCGTCGATAAAATAAATCCCTGGTTCAATAGTGAGTACCATGCTCTCTTGAAGGACACGGGTAGTCCTAAGTGAGCGGAGGCCTGGTTCTTTTATCCGCTTGGTACCCTGGCAAGGAGCAAAAGCAAATCAATTTAAAGCCTGTGGTATGACCTTTCCCGCCCCCTACCCTCTTGGGGCTGTATGTCTATTCCCATCAACTCCAGGGAAGTACCGAAGTGCGCTTAGGTTGAACTTAAGGACGAAGCACTCATTCATATACATACATAAAACGATTACGGACACTCAGTTAATGCGGAAATCAGCTGAATCCCCGGACGAAGATCAATTCACGGCTCACAGGTGTCCGCAATAACGGGAGATAACTGTATTTATTATATAGATAATGATGAAATACCAGGATTTTTCCTTTTACTGAAAAATCATATCTTCATCGCGCGCAGTGAAGATACTAATTTTATCTTTCACGTGTGAGGATATTGGTGTCGCCACGGTTACTAACATAAATTTTGACTTTTTGGAACAGAAAACATAAGTATTATTGTCTTTATTTCTCCTTTATAACTTTATATCCGAGTTTCATAACATTTTTGTGACAGGCATTTTGCGTTAGGTGACCACTTTAACTGCACTATTTTGCTGTTTCGAAAATGACTAACAAAAAAACTTGTGTTTTAGGTAGGAATTTCATCAGTATACATAAAATAAACAGAACATTACATGGCCGCTTGGGGATACGAATTTTATCTTCTCTTGCTGAAAGTATCTCTCACGAGTGAGAGATACTTTCAGCATCTCGAAGATAAAATTCGTATCCCCAAGCAGCCATGTAATATCTTCTACTTAACTCTAATAGACCACTCACTCCAATCACCGTGAGTTATAAGACAAAACTTAATAAGGTACCTCGGGATATCCACCAACATCATGAACATCGCATCCCATAAAATGGCCAAGACCGTGAGGCATAAAAACGGCCCCAAGGTAACATTTCATCATCTCGTCAACGTCCCCGTGTAAGAGTCCCATGTCCCTTAAACACGTCAGCTGGACGCGCTCTGCTAAACGGTGCATGTCGGTCCATTTGACACCTGCGAGAATATAAAGAGACGACGAATAAACCTAAGTCCACAGAACTTTGTACAATATTATAATTATACTTTGCTGTGTTTAAGACGTTAAATTCAGGAGTCAATGCATGCATCTCCCGGTAATAGACGCGCCTATTACCGCGAGTTAACGACCTCAATTAGAAAAGAAGTCCTCAATAACGAAGGTTTATTTCCGGCTGTCAAACCTTGTAACGTATTTCTGTCAGAGATTTAGCCGCAGTCTGTTTTATCTCTGTTTCCGTAATAGCGAAATGTCCGCAAGGCGAGAGTTGTTTTGCCGGCTTTCTACAATTTTCTTCTTTGACAGTCGGTGAAATATAACAAACTATTCCAATTTCCGAGATAATTTCCTCTTTTCTGCGAGACAAAGCCTACTTTATGGTCCTTTCACGTAGGATGTCTCGCGAAGCAACTCGCAAAGCGAGGGTGCTCTTCTCATGAAGCTGCAAGCGCCTATAAAAGGCGGGAGTTTTGGCGCGAAACTCACACCCTTCTGTGACTTTTGATTGGACGTATCATTTTTCACACACATAAAAAAGCATCGCTCGCGATTCTGATTGGCTAGAACTCATTTACGTATAAAAATTTACGACTTGGCTTTTCAATGACTATATCTTAAAAAATAAGATATCTTTAAAAAACATAGTACAATTTTAATTCTTTGGATGGAAATCGTTTAGTGTGACCATTAAAAGTGAGACCTCTTTAGTGGTACATTCACACTGTGCTAAATAACACATACTATGCATGCCGGCCGGCACTTACCAGGCTTAACAGCCGCCATTACAGCTCTACTGGCCCTGTACACGGCTTCATAAATGTTGCGTTGATCCTCTGTGAACTTGCCATTGGCTGGGAATGAACACGTGATGTCGGATGTGTAGCAGTAGTATTCTCCGCCCATGTCAAACAAGCTAAAGCAGAAGCAAACCCGTTTTACCATTGACAAACGGCTGGATCACTGACTGTATAATGTTATCACATGCTCAGCTGTTGAAGAAATTCAGGAATACTCACCACATGTCGCCATCATTGATCTTCTTGTCATTTGGTGCTCCAGCATGGCCATAATGAAGAGTAGCACAGTTGTGGCCACTGAAATACAACATGAACAAAAACAAAAAAAATTGCTGTGAAACCACTCGCCTTGACATGACTTGAGTTTTGAACATTCGGACGTCATTCAATCTACATGTGTAAAGACTACGGAAAATTGCTGTCGATTTGTTAAACTGAATTAGAATGGCAAAAATGCACTAAAGATGTTCATTTTAATGATGTGTAAGTCTTTCAGAGGGGTTAAGAAAGAACTGACTGTACTAAGATAAAACCAAAATAAGATACAGTCGAACCTCCCGTAAGCGACCACCCAAAATGCAAAGACTGAAGGGTCACGTACGGGAAGTGGTCATTTACAAGAATGAAACCACGCGGGGATCTCTTCCGAGAAGAGGTCCAAGCACATATACTTTATGGAAGATAATTTAGGATATGTGTAGTTCCATGTTGTAACTAAAGTTCTTCGTATATTCTAAGTCACAGTGCGCACACAAGCGAAAATAGAGATCAGAAAATGCGTCAAGTGGTCGCTTACAAGAGGTTAAAAACAATGGAAAATCATTAACCGTCATGCCCAAAAAGTGGTCGCGGTCGCTTACAGGAGGTGGTCGTTTACTAGAGGTTCCAACTATAAGGATTTGACTAAGAAAGTTTGCGTGTTTTAGATTGGCGGTCGCCTATGGAAAGTGGTCGCTTACGATAGGTGGTCGCACAGGAAGGTTCGACTATAATTACGAATGCAGCTCGTATACTCATTTGAGCACACTCAAAAGCAGGACTCTCATTCATGGAGAAACGACCTCTGAAAGCAAACAAGCTACAAGCATACGAAAGATGGCAAGGAAGACAGTCCACTATAATTTTAATATTCATGTGTACTTTCCCCCGACAACCACGTTACCATTCACCTAAAAATTTTGGACCGTTACACCATTTCTGGGAAACTGCCCACCTACCCCTCCCCTAAGACAACACTTTGCCCTAAGTGTGAAGTAAGTGTTAATGTTGGCCAAAGGGAGGGGTAGGTGGGCAGTTTCCCAGAATCGTATAATTCAAGACAGTCTTAAATTCTGGATTCCACAAAGTGGATTCCGACAGTGTTAGCAGGATTCCGGAATCCTTGAACTAAATTCCGGATTCAAATCCCAGGATTCCAATTCTGCAAGCAAATATTTTCCTGATTTTGGAATCCGGATTACCTATATTGTTATCGCCTTTTGGTGTAGTGTACTCCCCTATTAGAATTTGAAATGATTGTAAGTGTACCGGTTAAATTGTATTGCCTGGGACGCAGATGAGTACCTGCGAAAGTTCACTTGACTGTCTGAGTATAACATACCTTCCAGCAATGCATGTATATGCCACATGTCGACAACCACCTTGGGAATAACAGTAATGATGAAACAAACTGAAAAGAAACAGAAATTGATGTTGAATGAAACTCTCACACAGCTTTTCTTGGGTGGACTGAAACGCACTTGCGTGACAACACATATGGCCCTAGCACAGGCTGAAGTGTAAGAATAAAAAGTATTTTTTAAAACAATTATCAAAATCATCGACAAAAAAACGCCAAGTGCGTTTTCGCTACAAAAATAAAAAAAAGAAGAAAGGCAATTTAAAAATACAGGGATTAAAAGATTTACGGACATTTTGGAACTGAACCTTACAAATTTGTTAATAAATTGATAACATTATTGCAATAGTTAAAAAAACTTCAACTCTTGAACAAAACTAGTGTTACAAATCATGGCCATTCGTGCACATGCAAGAAAAAAACCGTTTTTCTGCAGTGTTCAGTCCCGCAATTAAATAAGCATCGTCTGTTGCTGGTCAACGTGAATGCCCGTGAACACAAGCTTAGGACAGCAGAAAAAGGTGGACGAGGCGAAAGTGGGGCTGCCGGATTTTATGAAAGAGTTACGTTGTTGCGTATAATATTTAAGATTTGGCCACAGCGAACTCTATATCAAACTGCACTGATGGAAAGGCTTAGTAGGAGAACGAATTTTCAAACCAAGTTTGTGCTGGGTATGAAGGTTTTGTCAGTCAGTGTCACGGGCGGCTCAAGAAAAGGCAGTTCTTCCAAAAGGAGTCAAACCTAAGATCTTCTGGTATTCTGGCCAGAGGGTCGTCACTAAGGGCGCGCGGGGGCCGGGGATTTCCCTTAGCTATTATGAGCATGACTCCCGGCTACTTTGAGTGGAAAATATAACATAAAGGCCTTCCTAGCTGTTCAATTTTCAATTTGCCGCTTACTGATTGCATATACCCGGCAAATGGAAATCGTAGTGACAACCCTTTTCTGGTAACTTGTCCAGGAGCTCTACGACTGAGCTAAAGTATACTCATATGCCATTGAATTAGTTGTCATGTGACGAACATCCTGGAAAATGCTCGAGTAGAACGTCAGTAGGTACACTGTAGCATATTAACAAAGACGAACTCTGGGACCATAGGTCGACGTAACTTTTAGCCTGCGAGCAAGCTCTCCTATTTAGGCGAGCCTCGCGAGAACGCGCGAGCGAGGGGCCTTTCCTCTGCCCCTCGCGGCTTCGCCGCTCGCTCGCGCGTTCTCGCGAGACTCGCTTCGCTCGCCCAAATAGGAGAGCTTGCTCGCACGCTACGTAACTTTCGGCAAGCTAAGCCAATTTAACCTTATTTTGCAAGTATGCGAATTTCCAAGTGTTTGGTTGACTTTTTAGATCATCACTTATCAGGCTATGCATATCCAGAAGTCTTTAACTACTAGACGACAAGAAAGACTTAGAATTCTGAGAACACAACTGACTTCAAATTCCACAGTTGTAGTTGTAGCCGTAGTGATACTGACTCGTGACGTACTGAGACAATTTTTTGCTAACGATACATTTACCTCTCCAATTCAAACTCTGTCATTCCTGGCCGAATGCGCCTCATCACCTAAGTAAAATGCGCAAAAGATAAGTAATTTCATGACTGTAGATGTCAAAATACGGTGTGATTTTTTGTCTGTTGTAATAGCCTATGTGGTAGAGTTAGAAGGGAAGGGCCGGAATTGGGAGTTCTGCAAAGGCGTGCGCTTACATGAAGTGTAAGCGAGAGAAGGAGAAGGAATGTCGCCTAAATTTTCCCTTTCCCTTCCCCTGTAAATGTCTGCAAACCAGGCTAATTTATGAACAGATAAACTGAGGTAAAACTGATATTTTATTCTTATCTCGAGGCTAGCTTTGTTGATTACGATATTAGTTTCATTAGTTTAATTATATTCTAGTTTAATATTGTACATGATTGCCACTTGTCTAGGTATTTATGATTTTTTCTTTTAGTTGTTTTTTATTTCTTATTTATTGTGAATTTAGGTAGCCCTTCAGTGAGGGAAGTTGTTTTCTGTTCAGGGCTTTCCGGTCAATACTAAGTGCGTATTTTGTATTGCCAAACTATTAAAGTAAAGTAAGAGGCAATTTATTCAATTCTGGAAAGGCACATTTGCTGTAAATGGGTCAATGGTTTGTATCCTTGCTTTTATGGCTTTGTTCCGGGGTGGGTATGTTCCAGGTCAGAATAAATTCACGTTAAAATGTTTTAAACTAGTTTGATTCTTAATTGCCTTTGTCTCCTAGCCCTAATTACTTATGACTTTTGGTTAGGGAACAAAGAAAATTAAGAATCAACCAAGGTTAAATAAATTTAACCTGAATGTAATTTTGACTAGTCTGACTAGTAACAGGTACACACTGCCTTTACCTTTTACTTATAATTTTTAGTATTTTTTTTCACTGTGCAGACATTTTTCAACACCTTCATATGCCTGCTTTCATTATGTAGGCTTTAATACACATCCTGATACCCACATAAACACCTCGACATTTCCTCTGCATACAAACATGGGGACTCCAAAAATGCCCCCTAGGGTTTTGGCCTCTGGACCAAACCCTGTGGGGCAACAAATTACAGTAAGGCGTATGAGAACTGTGTCCAAAATTTTTACCTCCTTGTGAGCTTCACTGCTTACTCTGTTTGTAAAGCGAATCACCTCTATCTCTTCAGGAGTCTTGAACACACGACTACAAAGACAACAAGAAGTACATTAGAAAGAGAAGTGTGCAATGTAAATTTTTTATGTTATTTTCCGAAGAAAAAACAAAAAGGCCCCATGGTTTTCTGTATTTCCTGATAAGGGGACAACTTTTGTTTCTGTAGTTTTTAAAGTTTTCTATTTTCAATATAGTAAGTTCTATATTCATACTTTAGTAGCAGTGAACAGGACTCATAGAAAAAGTTTCAGCATACTAGCCTAGAGGCTAACACCAGAACCTTTATTAAAAACAAACAGAAATTATCACTTTCCATTCCAGTAACAGTGAGGAGCACGCAAATAACAAAAAAAACCACACACACAAAAAGAAAAAACAAGTCATCTTACACTGTCAAATATCTTTGAAGAAACCATGGGAAAATTCAAACCATGTTCCTTCACAGATCTAATCCCATTTTTCAGTCCAATGTATAATTAAACACCAAGTTTTGTCTTTTTTTTCTACTACACACTCTATCTTTCAAAGCTTTCGCTAGGCAGGCTGTATACAGCCACCCCCTTCACCCAAACTAGATCAGGGAGAGACTTTCCCTCTTCCTGATTTTTTTAGGGGAGCGGGTGGCTGTACACAGGCTATGGCAAGGTGCCTGGAAAGCCTTTAGTTCTGGTGAGCCCTTCCCTGCTAGCATAAAATATTACCTTGGATTTTTATAACGTCAGTACCGCCTGGGTCACTTTTCGGATGAAAAAGAACATGCGCCGCTGGCAACTAGAGCCATCGCAGAGCTCTACCGCCGGCACGCTTGCAACGTTGAACATGAGTCAACTTCACAGGCATGCATGTCGGGGGTAAAGACTGGGATGAGCAATGTTGCCAACCACTTCTGTTCTCATATTGGAACATTATCCAGGCAGTACCAGCGGCCATGTCGCAGGTGCATTGGCAGCATAATATTATGAGAACCAGGCTTAAGATGGACACCTTTGGGAATGGCACAAAGTGTTTGTCTAAAAGTAATGTCCGTCTTATAGAGAGTCAAATAAAGGGAATAAAGAAAGGCAGGACCAATTCTTGGTGTCCGTTTTAGAGAGTTGTCAATCTTATAGAGGTGTCTACTAAGTGAGAGTCGATTGTATATCAAAATCACAGCAATGAAATATCTCACCATTCTGTAATCTCAGGATGCAAACTCTTGTTGTCTAATTTGAATCTAGAAACATAATAATTAATACACTTTAATATGAAATACAGATCTGGACAGGACTTGTTTAAATGAAGTGGTCTAGTACATGTGTATCCACCACAACAAAAACTAAACCTAACACAGGATAAACACCATCACTTCTAGATCACATTATACAGTGTGGGGGTCAAGCTTCAGGAGAATAATCATGCTCACTTGCTGATTCCATCAAATGCTGCCTCCCTGCAGTATTGGCCAGAGTCAGTATTGAGACCTCGCTAAAAGAAAAAAAATTCCTGTGAGCAAAAAGGAAATTGCGTCTGCAGCATTATTTTATTTTAAGGATTCTTTGAGTACATGATAAGTGGCTGGGGCCGCACTTAATGGCAAAGATAGATATAGGCGTGGGTAATATTTTTGTTGCCTGGTCATGTAAAGACTTTTAATTTCAAAACAGAGACCCCAAAACTAAACAAGAACACACCAGCGTGAGAAGGACAGAAGGTGCTTTCTTTGTCAGTACATCAGCAATCTAAAAAAGAAAGAAAGAAAAGAGTTAGTAAGTTTATAAGTTGTTTAAAACCTGCAAAGTAAGCTCAAGTTAAAGAAAAAAATTTTCTTAAGATATTAATTAAGTCTAGAAAATGACCGCAATTAAACTTCTGGTATAGTTTTTTTTAATTACGCTGTTCCAAATAATTAAAACAACACCAGTGATCTCTATAAAGTTATAAAAGTTTTTGTTATTTAGACATTCTGATAAACCAAGCCAGTGGTGAGATTGGAGATGTCATTAAAATAAAAATTATTATGACCTTGGTTTTTGCTAATCAATTTAAAAATATTTACCTGGATGTGCACATGTAAACAGAAGGACTATTAAAATTTATTACCTCATCAGTAAAGAAAACTTCATCCACTCCATACTTCTTTTTAAAATGCTCAAGCTCATGGATTCTGAGATGAAAAATCACCAATGAACATGAGACTTAACTTGCAACCGAAACGGTAGAAGTTTGCAGATAACAAATGTCAAAATTGGCCTTAATAAAACTGTTCATGTAATGTCCATTTGGAAAAACAGCTTGACTGTGCTGGCCTTTGTCCTTGCAACTTATTAAGACCTACACCTGTAGAAGAACTGTTTCACTGGACCTTGTGTGAAGGACGCAGTGTGCAAAGAAAATAGTGTCCGATAGCCCAGGACTAGTGGAGTTTGCTATAGGGCTAGTGAATTCTGTTCTTAACTTGCCCAAAGGGCAAGTGAAGTTTTTTGAGGAATTCAAATTACATAAGAACTGTGTAATCAATCCTCATCATCAAAGAGCTTTTGGGGCTAGATGAAGTGACTTTTGGGCTCGCACATCCCAGCTACAGCTTTCCTGAATGAAAAGCTGTAAAACTGACCTTCTTTGCAACCTTACTGTCATCTACCTGCCTCTTTTATTTAGCCTGGATAGCTGGCGGGATTGTTATGATTCACGCGGGGACTATTATTTTTCCTTATGTGTGGGGTAATTTTTTGGCTGCAGAACTGCAAGGGATTTTCCTAATCAATACAAGTGGATAAGTTAAAGAAAACCAAAAACTTACTTTCCCATCCAGATGGCATACTCTGGAGGAAGACGTGGAAAGAACAAGATTGAACGTGCAGTGTCTACTTCTACAGCTCCAAAACAGTCACCCTCTAATACACCAAATGTCCAATGAAAATATGATTCCTGTAGAAAAAAAGGAGATGAAGCTGGTATTACAAATCAATTAGACATATATAGCATTTGGGTATTAGCAGTTAGAGCGGTTTTCACTTGACTGTCGAAAGTAATTGAGGAATTAGTTTGGTTTTGGTTTTACTACGCCCTTTGGTTGGCTAGTGTATTTACTTTGGTTTTGATTTACGACAGTCAAGTGAAAACCACTCTAACAAGATCATTTTTCAGCCTTTAGGAGACAATACAGTCAACTCTGTAAGTAGCAGACACCTTAACATAATATAAGATGGAACCTCTGCATTTCTTCGGTCTTTTCTTTGACTCTATAATGTGGACACCTCCGTAAGATGAACCAAGAAAATCATTTTTTGCCATTCGGGGGAGCTGAAGCTAGCGTTCACTAGCCCAAACATCATTTCAACTAGTTCCAGGTGCTTTTTGACAAGCAGAATTGACTTCATAGTTCTTCTGTTATTCGAATATTTGCTCGAAAAACATCACTTGCCTGTCGGGCAAGTTAAGAACAGAATTCACTAGCCCGATAGCAAAATCCACTAGCCCCGGGCTATTGGACACCACTTTCTTTGCATGCTGACTTATGGGATGTTCCAAACCAAGCCCACCTTAGAGAATGTTAATTTAAGAATTGTAAAACGGACGCTGTTATTATAAGAATCTTAACCGACATTTCGGCAATGCTGCCTTCTTCAGGGTATACAAGACTAAATGCTGTTAAGATTCTTATAATAACAGCGTCCGTTTTACAATTTTTAAATTAACATTTTTAAGTACTACGCTGTGCAGGTTTTTCAATCTTTATTACCCACCTTAGAGAAGTTGACTGTATTTTTATAAGGCTTAATGATTCAAAAGCCTTACACCAGTGACAACAATTAAGAGGTATGCGGCGATGTGAGGGGGTGGGGAGAGGAAGAGAAGGGGCTTATTCTTTCAAACATCATTGACTGGGGACTTAATAGAGAGGGGGGTTAACTAGAGAGGTGAGTTAATCTAATTTAACGGAAACAGTGCTAAATGCAAAGAAAAAGGGGGAGCCTAACTGTAGCCATGGCACTCTGTTACTGTTCTAGATCAGAGGGGAATGACCATCTGTAGTGAAGATTTGAGAGAGGGTACTGGCTTATTAGAGAAGGAAGGATTTAATTCAGGGGAGAGGGCTCAATATAGGATTTATTTCATCTACCCAGCAGACCCCAGTCAACAAGTACAAACCTCCTGGCTCATACATTTAGTCCGGCTCATATACATTTGGTCTGGGAAAAATGAAGAGCAATTCTTGAATGAAATTCTCGGCAAGCTGGTCCTAAAGCACTGAACATGCCCAGAAGATGTTACAGGTCAAAGTTAAATTCAGGTTAATTTTCTTTTTTTTTTTAACCTAGGTTAACCTAATTGTCTCCTAGCCAGAGAAAAAGGGAATTGAGAATCAACCTACAAGTTAAAAAATCTTAACCAGAATTTAGTTTTGACCTGCAACATATATAAAAATAGTGAGCAAAAGCAAGTCACCAGGGCTTGTCAAGTGCTAATAAATACCTTGAAATAGCATTTAAGGATTATTTTTTATTTACCTGACGGAAAAGTACATCCCTATCAGTACAGTATAGCTGTTTTTGTTCTCCTCCTTGCAGAAGAACTATGGCTCCAGAAGGAACATCTTTTGCATTCTTTAGCCGCTCACAAAGACGCCTTCTATTGGTTGAATGGAGACTAACTGGAACAGCCAGCGTGTGGCTTCCAATTTGATAGCAGGATCTGAGAATATATCAGTTGAAGAATATTTTAATGTTTACCCCTCACTGACGTCGCAATAAAACCTACAAAATGTACATCGTAAAATTAATTTTGGTGAGCAGAAAAAATTTCCAACTTATCCACTCTTAAAACTGTTTACAAAAAGTAACATTGCTGATGATCATTGACATGTGGACAGGCCTATACAAAAATAATATGTCTTTACCGATACATACGTGTCCATTCTTTCTTTACTTTATTTTCAATCTAATCAGCTCTGATTTAAAATTGCCTTTAATTTTCATTGGTTAATGGAACTTATTAAGTTATCTAGTCCCTGCAGTGTCTGGAATTTGAATGTTTGACACAGCCCAATGAATGCCTTTGAATCAGGTCTCATAATCCTTTCTAAGGTCTTACAGGGTAAGTATCGGCCTGTTTCTATGGCGAGTTTCTGATTGGTTAAAAGCAATTTTTTACAGTTCAAGATTCTGTTATGCAGTGCTGTCAACTCTCCCAGATAATCTGGGATCAAGACTCCAGATTTTAAAGCATATCTCCTAGTCTCTAGATTAGAGTCTGAAATCTCCCGAATAATCGCCAAAGTTTGCCACTTCTTGTAGAATCGACTCTCTGACAATGAAATTTCAAATATTTTGCGTAGTTTGAGCTATTTTATTAACATTGAACATTTCCTTATTTATACCACTACGTGAGAAATTTCTGCAATTTGACTGGCTTAGAGCAGTGGTATTTCAGCTTAATTTGAAATACCTACATGTGAAAATTACAAACCTTTTGTGGGTACTACTATAAACAAATAATAGCATGATTTGTACGTGATATTTGGCATAAATAAAAATATCACTCGTGGTATTTATGCCAAATATCACTACAAATAATGCTATTACCTATACAAACTCCCGTATGACATTGAATTACAAGCAATAATGTGATTGGTGGCAAGTAAACCAATCAGGTCAAATGTTACAATTCCAACAACATCTTTTTCACACGTTTTTGGAGAAATTACATCATGTGTCGTGCATTATGACATCATCTACCAATTCTCAATATTTGAAGAATTAAGGGTTGACAGCCCTGGTGATGAGTATTGGTGACCTGGCAAAGATAATCATCTGTGACATTTGTAATTGTCTATTGTTTTGAACTTTCAGTATGTTCTCATTCTGTTATTTTGGTCAGCATCTCTTTTAATGTTGTTACTCATTTCACTCATCTAGTGTTACAGCTTGATATCCTTAAGCCTTTGCCATATGGTGTCTTTAATTCCTCATGAGTCCATATAGGTCCCCTTCTCTTCTCTCTATTTCCTTTCTAATCACAACTATATCAAATTCTCAATCTGATTGGCTATCAGCTGCCCTAATTTCAGCATAAGTCAGAACTATAACAGAATTCTCAAATCGGATTGGCTATTAGCTGTCCTGATTTCAGCACTAATAGGACAGTGTAATAGGACAGTACACATCATGCCTGTATTTGGACAGTATATGACATCACGTGCACTTAAATAGTTTTTTTGTTTCACTGTTAGCAAAAAAACTCTCACACTTTCTTGTCTTTTGATCTAAAAAAGCCTAAAATAACACAAATGTTGCTGTAGTTATGATTAATTTATAACACAACTTCATGGTGTCCAATTCAATCTGCCGTAATCATATTTGTGATTAAACAAATCGGATGATTTTATTTACCGGTATGACTCGTATGATTACAAACCACAATAGACTCCTCTCAGTCCGGAAATATTTAACACTATTAATCAAAAAATCTAATTGGTCAGAACACTCAACACATCATCCCTAAGTAACTGGACAGTACGCGCCAAAAAAGGTTAAAATATCACAAATTTTGTCATAGTTATGATTGATTGGTAACAGAACTTCGTGTCATCCAGTTTGGTCTGTAATTATCATATGCCGTTGTCTTATTTTGTAAATCACTCGTATAATTAGACACTCATGATCAGTCCAATTACTAATATAAATATATCCTCTCTACTAACCTTTTAAGGTAGAAAGAGTTACTCAGGCTAGAATAACCGTCTTTCCCGTGAAGCTCTACAGTGGAGATCATTGTGTTTACTTTCTATCTGAGGGATGTGATCAGGGACCCCACCCTACGAAGTAATCTTTACATGCCTGTCCTGTGGCATACAATTAGTACCAAAAATCGAGGGAAGGTAAAATTTAGCAACAAAATTACAACTTTAAAAACAACGGAATGAAATACAGTTACAATACGTGAAAAAAAGGTTGACTGATAAACAAAAAGGCGCATGAGAAGTGACCAAGACTGCTGGTCCTAGTGGGAGATGACGCGATCGAGTAACACTGCGTTAAATTTTCACTCCAATGACATCTTCCGTTTCCCGAGAACAGTATGTTTAAATACTTACGGTACATTTGCTGCACTCATCCTTTGAAAGATTTCGAAAGAGGGCAATCAGATACGATGCACAGGCCAAACAAACGATGGCCTTTCCGGGACGGAGCAAGAACTGCTTGTATGAGGTGACGCTCGGGTGTGATCGTATTTTATCGGTTTTTATCGTCATTACTTCGAGTCTAGTCTCCAGTCTCTTTATTTCGCTCCTAAGTACTTGGAACATGGAACAGCTTTGTAAATTTGCAATTTAATTACAAATTATGAGTAAGTTCTCCTTACGGTCTTTGTCTTCAGTTGACAGATAGGTTTTGTAATCTTTCTTGGCCATGGCTGATGATATAGATGACCTATTAGACGAATGTGAAACGAAGTTTTGCGGGAATTCAAAATCTTCATCACAGAATCATCCGAACAAAACAAACTCAAGATCGTCAAAGAAGGCGACACGAAACGAGAAAATTGGAACGAAAAGGTTTGTAGTTTTTTTTAATAGAACTGGTATACTTAAGCCATATCTATTACGTTTACTTTTTTATAAGGGCAGCTCTGCAATTCTTGGGGTCTTTTTAGTTCACAGACCAAAAATGTTGAACGCGATGAACTCAATGACATGATCAACGAGTGCATGGACGATGGGCCTGAAATTCCGGAAGTTCATGAGAAGGTAAAAGCATATGTTACGTGTAGTTTACTGTAGCCAACTTTTTAAAGGTAAAGAAAATATTCCTCTGAAAGAAATGTAAAGAATGTTTTTACACGTGCACACGAAACTTTTGTTTCAAAATTATATAAAAATACATTCTTAACATTGGTTGCCAAGGCGCCAACAGTTACATTAAAAAACCAGAATTGTAAATTAGTTTACTAAGCGAGCGTTTGATCAGAAAAGCTACGAGGTAGTTATCCCGGTTTTTTTTTTTTTGCTGGGTGGGGAGAATTATTTTTACAGTGGAAGCCCTTGAGATTACCAAATTACTGCCCCCCCCCCTTCCCCTCTCCCGCCCCCATCAAAACCCCTAAATCAAAGCAAACTTTGAAAAAGAGTCCTAGGTGATGTGTAATAGTACTAGATTCTCCTTCCAAAATTGCCAAATATTTGTCTGTGAAATGAAAGAAGAATTTGGCATTGTATCAAGAATCACTAAAGGCCTTATTCTTAATCATATTTATTTATTGCAAGAATCATCCACCCTTCTCTCTCAACTGCTACCTGTGCGCCTATCAAACATATCAAACACCCTCTCCTAAGCTCTGATTACTCCTAGTTATGTAATTAAGAATTTATTATTATCGCAGACTGAAGTGGATGGTTGGCTCATTCCCCCCCATAGGTCTCTTTGTCCCTGCAAGCTTACTGCACTTTTCACAAACATGCGAAGTCTGAAGTTCAAAAGCCAACTGACGATTCCGTTTTTTGCTGCTATCAATCATCTTAACAGACCTCTTAGAAAACAAAACTTTACTTTAATCGGTTCAAAAGGTCAAGGTTTGAGATTTGTGATTGGTGGATTTCGAACCGTTTTGTGTGTTTCTGTGTTTCCAGGTTCGTTGCTTGTGATCGTAATTATGATTGACAGCAGTGAAAAATGCTATTGTGAACGCGGCTTTTGAAATTTAGAGTTCGCATGTTTGTGAAAAGTACAGTGATATTTGTTTTTAAATTTTTACTGGAATCACAGAGGGAGCCTCTGTGGGGGAGGGGAGGTGGTGGTGGTTGAAACAATTAACAACAATATATACCTTATTATTTAACAATTAATGAATGAGGCTGAGTATCTTATGAAGAATTGTGGTGATCAAGGAGGTTATTATCCGTCAAGGTTGTAGGCCGAGGCGTATAACACCCTCCAAGATCTCCATAATTCTTCATCTGATACGAAAGCTGAATTCAATAATTGTTTTATTATTCATTCAAAATAATTCCTAGTCTAAAAACATAGCTAAAACATGCTTACCTCCATCAATCAGATCGATGTTAAGTTCATCTTCGATAGTGCACGTTTTGGTTGTTCAGCTCGGCAAATATTCTCCAAATAGCAGATATCGCCCTTTGAGTTGTCTTCTTGCTGTTCTTGTCATGTTTTTAGCCATTATTTCACCTAGTTCCAGCTGTAGTTCTTACTCTTGAAACAAGTGAAGTGTCTGCCATTTTAGTTTTCAGAATGAAAGCAACTCAACCTCATCCCCAGGTCTTCTCGGTTAACAGTGCATTAATCTGTAGAAGGCTACATTTTTGATGTCATGTCCTCGTGAAACACAAAATTCTTCCAAATTTGGTCATCAGTAAGTGGTTATGGTGAATTATGCGTGTGCTTTTAGCCAATCAGAATCGGGGAAATATTTTGAATGAATAATGAAGGAAATTAAGGCTTCATGAAATTAACATTTGTGTTAATTCAAGTCCTGTTAATTTCTGTAAATGTTAGTTTCCACTCCATTAATAAACAGTTATTGGATGAGGTTAAGCATGATATCATGAATTATCAAAACCGAGGTCTGTGTTATCAGACACGAGGTTTTGATAATTCATGATATCATGCAAAAACCGAATTCAATAATTGTTTTATTATACATTAATAAATAATAATTAATAATAGGCAAAAGAAGACGTTCAGCCATTCTGTTTGTGAGGAGAACACTCCAAGTGGCTTGGTTACCAGGCAGACGTTGAACTTGACAGGATAAATGCAATATCTGCAGCAGATATTGCATTTATCATGTCAAGTTCACAAGCTATTAAGAATTGATTGAATGCTCTTGACCAATCAAATTTTTCATACTGAGTCTGATGTATAATAATTTTATTAAATGGAGCATTTATTTCCACAACCTTAATTTCCATTATTTTGGCTCCGAATTCATGATACACTTTTGACATTCTTGACACCTAAGAAAGAGGGATATTAGAGGAGTATTTTATCAGGATGGATATCTGCCAGTATCAGTGAAACTTTCAAACCCTTGAAATGGCCAGATTTCTTTGCTTGTCCCCCTTCATATGTTTAGGGAAAGTTCCACTAACAAAGTTTCCATTTTGGGTTATATGTTTAACTTTTATTTCTTTGTCTCAACAAGTCTTGTTTCTTTGTGAATGCTCCATTAGTTTCCTTCATTTTAAAATGTTACCTTCTCTTTCTTGTTAATTTTCTTTATTTCAAAGTCGTTTTTCATTATGTTGCATTAATTGAAGTTGCTTTAATTTCCAAATTATCTTAATTTCAAGGAACAGTAGTTTCCTGTAAAAAGATATCTGGAAGAATTTGCTTGAAACCTGACTTGGGGGGAAGGGGGAGAGTTTGATGGATCAAAGCCTTTTGGGGGTCTAAATTTATCCCGGAGGTTAAAGTTAGCTGCACAAAATTTTACTCTTGTGTTGTCTTTCTTACTGTTTTTCTTGTCTGTGTAACAGCTGTGTTGGATTTTCATACAAGGGGAACTGTTGCTCCCGTGGCTGTATGGGTGAGGAGTCAAGAGGGGCACTGCTCCCCCTACCACCAATTTCTGAAAATTGTGATAATTTTTAGGAGCAACTGAATTCGATATGGTAAATCTCTTGGGAGAAAATTTAATAAATGTTCAGGATTAAACTAAAAATTATCACAGGTGGGCACATCAGTCAGCAACAATTTTTAATGGAATTGTTTTACCCTAACACATGATTTTCCATTTTGTTCTCAAGCATTTGACACAGATTTCCTCTTCAAGCCAAAAAGATTCAAGTTCATCAAGGAAGAGATGTGTTAAGGTTTTTCTTGGAGGCTCCAAGTTTGCAAAGGGACTCTGCACTGGCTCAGAAGAGAGGTGCTTATCTGTGATTCAAGTTTATAAGTGTTATTAGTATTATAAACAATTATTAGAGGTGTATTATCTTGTCATGTAAGTATAAGAGCACACCTTCCTTCCTACAAATGAAGCCAAAAAAAATGTGCATTTTTGTGGCCCGGAAGTTTAACGTGGCATTTTTTCTGACCAAGCAAAGTAGTCATTAAATTGTTGACGTTATATTATACCAGCATTTTAGCTTTTGGTACCAAAAGAGTTACCACTTTTTAGTTGAGAAATGCATAAACTGGTAAACTGAAGGTTTGAAATTTTCACCACTCAAGATACTGAATGTCCTTGACAGCCTTGGCCAAAAAAGAATGCAGGGTACAAAGAAAGTCAGTTTTACAGCCTGCCATTCGGGCAAGCTGTAGCTAGCATGTTCTAGCCCACAAGTCATTTTAACCAGCCCCAAAACCCTTTTTGATTAGCAGGATTGATTACAATCCTTCTGTAATTTGAATTTCAAAAAAAAAAAACAGCACTTGCCTGTCGGGCAAGTTAAGAACAAAAATCACCAGCCCGATAGCAAAATCCAGTAGCCCTGGGCTAGTGTATCGGACACGACTGTTCTTTGCACGCTGGAATGAATATTCCAATGCGATGATATTGAAGCTTTTTTAAAAAATTGATCAGAATAAGGATTAGCAGAAAAAGGGAGTTGGTGCTTTTTATTAGTAACTTTTGATAACTTCAGTGCTACTTGTTAATTCTTGTTCTGAATTGCCTTGCATGTTCCTGTGAACCTACTGGAGAATTTAATCATACATCAATGCTGAAAAGTTAATACTGGGTCTTTTGGTATTTAGAGCGTTATTTAAATTTGTCTAAGTTGTCTTCTTTTTTGTTTCTAGAGTGTGCGACAAGCTACGTTGTACATCGTGCGACTTCAATGTGGTCATCCTTAATGACTATGAATGGCATGAAGACTGTGATTATTTATTCTTTAGAAACAATATACCAGACTTTGATAAACTTAAAAGCAAGCTTTCAAGGAAACGAGGTAATTGATGACGTAAAATCTTCCATCCTGTTGCTCTCAATCACAACAATATACAGTCGAACCTCCCGTAAGCGACCACCCAAAATGCAAAGACTGAGTGGTCACTTACCGGAGACGGTCGCTTACAAGAATCTAACCACAGGGGGTCTCTTCCGAGAAGTGGTTGCTAACAAGAGGTTAACCCATTCGCCCCTGAACCGCCCGTAACCGCCCGTGCGGATCCAGGTCCTTTCTACCCTTTGTGACGTCATCAGTTTTAACGGTCAAGGACAACTTTCTTCGCTAACTTGTGCAGAGTGAAGAGATC